GGTCTCTATCCATAAATATTTGTGGGCCTCCCCTTACTGGTTCTGTATCTATTTTGGCAGTATAGATGGTGGAGGTTTTCAGGCGGTTAAGTTACAAAACATCAGATGTATCCCACTACAATATGTGGGCAGAGAACTTAAGTTTGTAGGCTGTGTATGAGAGACTATATTTATCTTTGATTTTAGTAGAATTGCATCAGTGCACTGCCAGCAGAAAGTTTGGCCCAGCATCTTTTAGAATGGTTTGATGCCTTAATAATCTTATCAGACAACCTTTAAATCCACAAGTGATTCGCTGATAACTTGGAGGTTTGTCCATGGAAAAGTCTTACTGGCAGCTACAGGCTATAAACTGTTGTTAATAAAACCTAAAATTAATAAAAGCTTAAGAGAGGTAAAGCCCAAAGGAGAAAAAGTTACGGAAGTTTGAGAAGCTACGGTAACAAGTAGTTCTAAGATTAGCTGAAATACCAAGTACAGTATAGAGAGAGCCCTGCAAATCTGCGGATATCCACTTCATATTCATGGACCATTTTTGTGGATAATGGATCGGATGCAGATACAACCACACAGGGCTCTACTCACCTGAGGCGCCTGGCCCACGGTGTCTGGCTCGTGTAGCACTTGGGGCCAGCAATCAGTGGCTGGGGTTGGGCGGCAGGTCAGAGTCGGGGCTCTCCAGCACCCACTCGTCACGCCACTTCCTGCCCAGCAACTTGGGCCCCTCAGGCAGCACCAGCGTCCCCACCATGGCCCAGCCCGGTAGCCCTGACCACGCTCCCAGGCCTGGCCATGAGGATTGTGATGCAAGATGCACTGCTGCACTCAGTGTGCCAGCACTAGCGAGCCCCTGGGAGCAGCATGTGATGCAACGCCCCTTTGAGACCCTGCCCCTGCACTGCCCCATATCCCCAAACCCCACCCTCCTGCTGCCTCTTCTCTGCAAGACCCTGCCCCCCCCCCCCTCACTTCTCCCCCCCCCCCCCCCAGCCCTTGTGAGACAGCTTGCTGCTGTGGATACAGGTAAAAGATGGCTAGTATATCGCGGGTTGATCCTGGCGGATGCGAATCCACATTTTTTTATCCGTGCAGGGCTCTAAGTATAGAGTGGCCAAAGCATTTAGTAGTTTCAGATCCTCCAAATGCTGTTGCTGTAATCTGCAAACCCACTTGTTTTATTTCAGACTCATGTTAAACGTGGAGATCACATGAAGGGTGCACGCATGCTTATTCGTGTAGCCAACAACATCAGCAAGTTCCCATCACGTAAGTGCTGTCCACCCACAAAAAAGCATACGAGAATTAACTATCCAGTGCATCAGACAGATACTTTCCTCTTGTGCTACTGTTGTGCATATCTTTTACTACATACCTACACTTGTTCAAAGTTAAACCTGTCCTGCCATGGAAAACCTGCTTTGCTACATGCCACATCGGTATGAAGGCCTTACAAAGATGAGCGCAATACTGCTATCTAAGTGTGTGTCCTCAACCATAATAATTGCTAAATGGTTGCGGTATTAAGTTGCATGAACCACAGTTTCAATATCATATGTAATTGGTGGGTCAACTCTGGGACCTTGCCACAAAACTCATGTCTTCTTTCAAATGTACAGCATCTTCAGTACAAGAGAGTACTGCAAGGCCAGGGAGTCTTACCATTATGGCAATCCTTGCTTGGGACAAAGTACAGTGGAAGATGCTAATGCTTGGCTCACTGTTACATAGTAGTTACCTTTAAAATTTTCATTTTTTGCTTTGGTAATTAGACATTACTGCTGTATGCCTTATACTCTGTCTAGGGAATACTGTTGCCTACCAAAGGTAAAATTTCTTTGAGAAACGGCTACATGCAGAATCCTCTCACATATGACAACAGTAGTGACAGTACATATAGCTACACCACATGTTCACTTTTCACCTGCCTACACAGAGGCTGCTCTGCATGACTAGCACCAGCCAGCTACACTAACTCCTGCACTCTTGAACACATTGTGACAGAAATTATACTCGACTGTTCGCTCCCAAGTTCCCAGTCACTGATGTCTCTACCTAAGTTATCAGTCCAGAGACACTGTGAATGTTTTGCTATGAATAGAGCTATGGTAAGAGGTGAACCATGACCATATTTGGGAGAGGTGGGGGTAATCTAACAATCCCCAAGGTCATATGTTCAGTCTCAGAAATGCACCATAGTGAGAGGAAACCCAGTGACTGGGATATATTAACAGGAAGTCCTGTGTAAGACACATGAGGTAATTGTTCTGCTCTATTCAGCAATGGTGAGACCTCAGCTGTATTACTGTGTCAAGTTTTGGGCACCACGTTTTGAGAGATGGGAACTGATTGGAGAGAGTCCCGAGAAGCACAACAAAAACAAGAGGTTTAAAAAAAAAACAGGCCCTGTGAGGAAAGGTTGAAAGAACTGGGCATGTTTATTCTAGAGAAGACAAGACTGGGGAGAGAATGTAAGTCTTCAGATAGGTAAAAGGTTGTTTATAAAAAGTATGGGAGAACAGCTGGTCACATGTCCACCCAGGGTAGGACAAGAAACAATCGGTTTACTTGACAGCAAGGGAGATTTAAGTTAGATATTAAGAAAAACTTTATAATTATAAGGATAATTAAGCACTGGAACAGGTTCCCTAGGGAGGTTGTGGAATCCTTGTCTCTGGAAGTTTAAGAACAGGTTAAAGAAGGTGGAGTAGCTATACTTAATCCTGGCTCAGTACAAGGGGCTGGACTAGGTGACCTTTTGAGATCCCTTCAAACCCTGCATATCTATGTGGAAATACAAGTACTAAAAATCCATGTAGCTCTGTGCCCTGAGTAAAGAATTTCTTCAAAAGCCTCTCAACCTTGTTTGCTCGATTGCTAAGGTTTTTAGCATTGCTAGTGGTAGATGAATGTTTGCCATTGTTTCATTGCAGACATTGTCCCAATCCTGACGTCAACAGTGATTGAGTGTCATAGAGCAGGATTGAAAAACTCAGCTTTCAGTTTTGCTGCTATGTTGATGAGACCGGAGTACCGCAATAAAATAGATCTTAAATACAAAAAGAAGATTGAAGCAATGGTCAGGTGAGCGAGGCTAATATGATTTATAAGTGCAGACAACAAAACAACTTTATCTGTAGCATTATTGTTCCTCCATAAAATCTACGTTTACATATTTTTTCCTTAGATATTTTTCCATAATCCTTACCTTAGGTTGGGAGGTTAATAATTTCCAACTCCTCTAAAGACTGAGGCCCTTATTTTTCATTGTCTTGCATGTGGTATAGTCATTTATCTCTGTGCAAAGTGGGTGTAAAATACTACCAAACCCGCTGCAATGCTTTACACCCATTTTGCACAGGTGTGAAAGTCTATAGTGAATTGAACTGACGAAGTCGTAGTAGTTCTCCTATATTTGTATTTTCAGGAGTCAGTTGTTCAGCATCACTACTGTGCACAGCACTTTGTAGAAAGGTGCAAAGACAATAGTTTAAAACAAAAAAAAGGGAGACGAGGCCAAGGATAAATACCAAAGTTAAAAAGGCAAACTCTCAAATTCCTTCTCCCTCCCCCTTCTTTGTAATCTGTTTAGACCACAAATTCTTAGAGGCAGAGACCTGGTTTCCTAGTATAATAATACTGTATAGATAATAGTGATGATGTGTTTATCCTACATGTCTAAAGCTCCTGGCCTGCTTTTTAGGTGCCACTGTAGATATCTCCCAGCCAGCATGCCAAACTGCTCTGCTATACTCAGGATACCCTATTGGAGACAATAGGGTTACATGGGGGAAATTGAAAGCAGAATTTTTGCAACTTGTGGGAGGAGTTTTGACTGCTCTGGTCAATATAACTGAAATAGTTCATGTCCAGCTGAATAAAATCTGGGTACAAAATCTGAACCTTGCCAAATTTATAAAATATTTTAATGAAAATGTCTAATTGTTCTCAAAGCTCATTATGCTGAGACATTGGAAAGGATGTATTAAGCTAAATGGAAAGTGCTATGAAAGAGGATCAAAGCCTTTTCTAGATATACTCTGTTCTGGAACTTTATAGATAAATCACTTAAAATTAGTTTTTCTAAGTGTCCCTCTCACTGCCCTCATATAATCTAAACATTTTATAGTAGAGTCTGGATCAGGATCCCTCACCACCATACATACTTGCTGAAAAAGAGCTTATGCACTGCAGCTCCACTGAGCAGAAACTATAGTCCAACTATTACAATTCTGAAGCTTAAAAATTCTAATATTTAACACCTAAATATCATGGTGAGTGGTGCCTAAGAAACAGTAAGATTAGATGATATTACATAGTATATATACACATATCATTTATTACTGGGATGTTTGAGAGATTAAGAATTCAAAATGGTGATCAACATTGCTTAATGGCAAATAAATGCTTCAAATTAAGGGCCCACTTGCAATGTTAGACAGTGTAAGGAAAATATGTGCAGTATCTAAGGGAAAATTGGTGAAGAGGGAAGGTGACAAAATATTGTTAACTAGAAACTGTACATTACTCCAAAAAATTAATGTTTTGCTCTTTACAGAAATAAGGTGTTGTCTTCTTTTTTGTGAAGGATTTCTTGTACTTAATTCAGATTCATATCTTATTTCTAGACGACCAGACACATCTGAGGCAGAAGAGCCAACTACACCATGCCCATACTGTGAATTCCTGCTCCCAGAGTGTGAACTCCTCTGCGCTGGATGTAAAAACAATCTCCCATATTGCATTGCAACTGTAAGTATTTTAAATTGAATGACAAATTCCCCTCTTCCCCGCGCGCACACTGTTTGAGACTGCTTCCTTTAGTATTTAGCACTGTATACAAGGTCTGCCTCTTCCCCCTTCTTAAAATGTCAGTTTTGATAAGTAACATTCATCTAAATTTGTAATTGATTCAAACACATTTGTCCAGTCTCTATCCACATTGTTTAAATGAGAACACAAAATAACTGACTATTATATTGCTAAAATTTAATGAAACCAATGAATTTTTATAGTGAAATTATAAGGTGTATGGTAAGGGAAAGAAAGGAGTTTGTTTTCAATTAAGACTGCTGTGCACAATGTCAGAGTTCCAAAGATGTAACATCTATGTATTTACGGAATCTTTTTAAATTAAGAGCGTACACAAGAAGGAAGCTGTCTCACTCTAAGCAGACTATCACAAAAACTGCTGCTTTGCCTGCAACTTTGTGATCTCAGGTTGGATAAGGAGGTATGCAAACAGATGACCTCACAGCTCTGGTGCCTTCTGTGTGCATGATTAGCAAGTGAAATCTTGTACCTAGAACAAACTCCAGTATAAAAAAAAGCCCCAACATTTTTGGTAAATATCTGGGACTGCTGTTTATAAACGCTTAAAATGGTAACTCAGTAATTGTCATGGAATTGTCCCTTGCCAAAAAGAGGGGAAGAAGGGAGAAATACAAATAGCCGAAAAATGTAATGAAATTCTGCATCTTCTTATTCAGAACTTCTTAAAATCCACAGCACTATTCATGCAGCAACAGATGCAAAAATGAAGTATCCAAATGATCAATCTCATGTAATGTTCGCTTGAAAATAAAGTACAGTAGCATTAAATCTAGCCACGCTGTAGGGTATTTGATACCATTACAAGTTCGTGTCACTGTTTTTCATGAAACTTTTTAGAATTAAGATCTTTCGCTGCAGAAAGGAGCAGAGCTGAAGAGTCAGAATGCTGATTAGGATGCAAATACTTACAATCGGGTTTAATCATTGAAAACTTTCACCTGCAGGGTCGGCATATGGTAAAAAATGACTGGACAGCCTGTCCAAATTGTGACTTCCCTGCCCTGCACTCTGAGTTCAAAAAGTAAGTTGGAATCTTTCCTGCTGAATAAGGATTTTTTTTTTTTAATAGCAAAGACCCTTTTCCACAGGAAGAAGCTTTAAGCCTTTCATTCTGAAGGCCCATCATTTACCCTTACCCCACACTTTCACCATAGTGCTACCTTAGCATGAACACATTTGGGCGTGTCGAATGCATGCTACAAATAGAGAACGGAGTAGCTGATTCAGTGTTGTAACCTTTGAAAGAAACTAGCAAGGGTGGAAATAGGCTTCTGCACCTTCCCAACCCCAAAGAGGCAGTGCAGAAACACACCAATAGTGGCCTGAGGAGCCCCAACTATTGATGTGGTCCCCTTAAGATTCAAAGGACCAAAGCAGCTGTTCCCCCACCCGACAGACACACTCTCCATAATGCTTGGTTCCAGAGTAAGAATGTACCTTGGCAGAGCTTTGACCTCAGTTATTCTGCTTTAAGCAAGGGAATATCTCCTGATTAGCAGTCACAGGGAAGTAGGAGCAGTTCCTCAGCTCAATTAGTGCTTATTACTGACATTTGAACAGAACTACCTTATCAGTAGAAAGCCTTCCCTTTCAATATTCTCTTTTTAGATTTGCATATTTTACTTTCATACCTGGGTAGCCATAAGACTGCATATTTGATTTATCAAATGAGACTGGAGCTTTAAATAGAATTACTAACATAGCCCATCTCTAGAATACAGTAGTGGGCTAGACAGCCTTCCAAGAGCTTTATGTGCTTTACTATAGCAGCATCCAAGAAACCCCTTCTTTCCAAATTATAAGTAGTTACAGCAGAATCTGAATTACGAACACCAAACTGACCAGTCAACCCCACATCTGGTTTAGAAGCACACAATCTGGAGCAGCAGAGACCCCCCCCCAAAAAAGCAAATACAATGCAGTTCTGTGTTATTGAACTAAAAAAAAAAAAAACAAGCATTTTTCTTCTGCATAGTAAAGTTTCAAAGCTGTGTTGACTCATGTTCAGTTGTAAACTTTTGAAAGAGCAGCCATAACGTTTTGTTCAAAGGTGCATACATTTCAGAGTTACAAACAACCTCTGTTTCAGAGATATTTGTAACTCAGGTTCTACTGTAGTTGACATCTTACAACTGTCATTTTCTCCCTCCCCACCTACTAAAATTGATAGTTCTTTCTGCCCTTAAAACCTGTTATAATTACCTAGTTTGATTGCGTGCATAGCAGACCATAGACTTTTCCCCACTAATTCCTGCATCAAGCCCAACACTGTGTGGTTGAAAATGGTGTCAGGAATGTAATTTGACCTGAAATATTTCTTTTAAAATAGCATGTTGCAGAGTGAAAATATATGTCCAATGTGTTCAGAAGGAGTTAGCATTGTCCATCTTAAGAAGATAGCTGACTGCACACCATATCTCAACCCAGAAGAAATGGAACAGTGAATTTATTCAAGTAAGTGCTACTGCCACTTCTAGAACAAACCTTAGGAAGATATGCAAGAAATGAGCCAAGATACAGTGACTAGCTTGATGAACTTTAGGGAAAATGGATATTTATGTAATTACAAAACTTAGTATGCTAAGTGTGCGTGTTTATATGGGAACTCTATGGTGTTCCCTGCCCTACAAAGTTTACAAGCACAGGGGTAGTGCCTACAGGCTGAAGCAGATTGAGAACCTATCAATGTGATAAACAGGATGGCAAGAAGGCACTGCAAGCCATTAGTTTTGATTCTTATTTGACAACCTCAGGTAGCAAGTTTTGGCTTGAAATGCTCAGTCTTCAAAGAATGCAACCAAATTCTCATCACTTGCTGCCATTAATTCACTCCTTAGCCTATTTTACAGTAAATACTGTACTGGTTAACATTTTGAATCCAGTATTTGACATCCCAATTCTGGTACCTGAAAATAGAAGTCTTTGGTTTGTTTGTAGTTCAAGTGGACAAAGCTTAGTACTGTTCAGATACCAACTATTCTTACGTGAGAGATGTAATTAGTGTATTGTACCTACAGTCCTGTAGGTTTTCAAAAGTGCTTAATACCCACTGTGTAAAGAAATTGTCACCATAAGCAGCAGACTAATATTTCACTTTTTAGTTGTAGTACATATCTTCTCCATTTAAACATCAATCCTGACTATGAAAGAGGTTCAGTTTTATAATAACGTTAATTTCATATTAGAAGATTGACAAGCAATTTATTTATTGTTAATGCATTGAAAAGTCAGTTTGGTACAGTTGCCTCTATTTTGAAGACTGAGTAACTGCTCCTTTTCATTTTCAGAATGATTGGGTCCTTCTGGAGTGTTGTGGCATTAAGGAAGCTCCTTATCAGTTTGGTGGATTTTTTCCCCCCCCCAAACAATTTAATACCTGAGCAGTTGTCATTTCTGTTCTCTATTTTGTGATACAAAAATTAACTAAATATTTACTGAAAGCAGAATAAATCCAATTTTACCCTTAAAGTTAAACTTAAAGTCTGTTTTGTTTCAGCATTCTCTGCTGCATATGAAAGTTTGTCACTTCATTTAAGAGTATAGTACCAATAGAATTTCCTCTACAGCTCTGGTGTGACTGCTTCCATGTGTGTTCATTTATAGGCAACTCATTACTGGAGGGGTTGATAGCTAGGAGATGTGGATAAGCAATACAAATAGCTGAAGGAAGTAAAATTTAGCATAATAAAGAGGGCATTACACTAATCTCAGGACCTTGTGGGGTATACCCATTTAACGTTTTTCTAACTTAAGATATTGTAAAGATTTCCATGTTGCTGTTGCAATATAGACATTGGTGTTTAAATTCCACAACACTGCTTAGGAATCTTGAGCTAGAAATTCAATGGGGGAGGAGGGGGTAAGAGCATATTAGGTTATCAGGCTTTGGGTTTTTTTTTCCTGAACAAATGCAGTAAGGGCACTATAGAGCAGGGGGGGTGGAGGGTGCTCTGTGTTGGGATTGAGGGGTTTGGGGAAAGGCTCAGGGGTGCAGGCTATAAGTGACATTTACCTCAAGCAGCTCCCAGAAGCAGTGACATATATAGTGATATAGCTTTTCCATGCCTCTCTCCTTCAACAAAATGAGGGGGAGGTGGAAGGCAAAACCCAGGGAAGAAATTCCAATACACTCTGTAGCCCCAAAAGCTGAGGTAGATTGTTATGAAGGCCTGCTGGGGACAAATACCATCTTCAAGCTATGAAAAGGGGGGAGAAACCTGAATAAGCCCAATATAATTAAAAAAAAAATTGTGAAACTAATTTTATTGCAATTTTATACATTGCTGCAGTTTTATAATGTACAAAAGAAAGATGCAATTTAAATTTTTTGCGTTATGTACAAGATTTCACCACATAATAGCAGAGATTTAGTAAAAAAGGTTCAAAGTCCTGTGAAGAAAGACTATTCGTATAAATGGCAGGAACCTAAGCCCCTCTTTCAACATGCTACTGCTGCAACTGGTGCTTATTTACAGGTGACCTTCCAGCAGCAGACTAAAGTCTGCATTTTGTTTACAATCTTTTTTATACTTTGCAGCATGTTAACATTTACATCACCCATGCATATTTGGATTGCAAAGCAGCCACACTACCTCTATAAGAGGAGCATTTTCAGCCCACTGGTTCTACCCTTCCAGCTGCAATAGGATCACTGCCAGAAAGTGGGTATTATGGGCAAGCAAAGCTGTGTCCAAAGCTAGAGTGGTTACCCAATGTACTCAGTCAGTATTGAACAGTTCAGTCTCTCATTTCTTTCCTTTCCCTTTTCCTTTTTTTGTTTCTTCTCTGTTTGCTGATTTTGACGGTTTGGAAGACTTTGCCTTTTTTTGCTGGAAATAAAATTTAAAATGCAGGTTTAGTGTGCCATGCCAAGTCTAAAGGAAGGATATCATAAACAGATAATATTAGTTACTTCCAAGTTGTGTCCTGATCCTGAAGCAGTCAATAATCTAAATAAAACCTCTAAAGACTTAAGTCAAAAAGGACCAGGGACATTCGCTTCATTACTGCTGTTGCCAAAGCTCACTGCACATACCAGGGCTCCTGGCATCCCTCCATTCCGTCCCTGTGTGCCACCCTTCCATCTCCTGCACAGTAGGGGCTAGGGTGACCAGACAGCAAGTGTGAAAAATCGGGACAGGGGTAATAGGATCCTATATAAGAAAAAGACGCAAAAATCGGGACTGTCCCTATAAAATCAGGACATCTGGTCACCCTAGTAGGGGCTCTATACCTCCCCCATCATTCTTCTCTGTCTGGGAGATAAGTTATTCAGGATGGCAACAACATTTTAAACTGTACTGGGCCAATGAGCAACACAGATGTTTTGCAGACACCAGCAATTTCTTTGTTTCATAGAGCTGATTGAAAGTGCTGGCTCTGGCAACCAGATGCAAAGAGCTCTGCAAGTCGCCCTTTTGCTTTTCCGATTTTCACCAAAATGGGCAACGTCTGTCCTAGTGATGCCGAAAGCATTCCCTGAAATTATGGAATTGATCAGATGAGGTGTTCAATTGCATTACAAACAGAAAAACACCAAATTGAAAATTGGCTGAGTGACGTGAGACCCTAAATGTGCTACTTGAATATTAGACAACAGTAGGGTTACCATATTTCAACAATCAAAAAAGAGGACAGGAGGAGCCCCGCCCCCATCCTGCCCTAGCCTTGCCCCTTCCACTCCCTCCCACTTCCCACCCCCTCAGAACCCCTAACCCTCCCCCGCACTCCTTGTCCCCTGACTGCCCCCTCCTGAGACCTTCCCCACATCCTAACTGGCCCCCTAGGACCCTACCCCCTACCTGTCCCGACTGCCCCAACCCTTATCCACACCCCCCC